GTCTATAAAACAAGTCGTTGAGGAGCCAACTCGTAAAGAGGCCATACTAGATTTAGTGTTAACAAATGGAGATTTAGTATCAGATATTACTGTAGGTGAAAGTTTAGGATCCAGTGATCATCAGTCAGTGTGGTTTAATATAAGAACAGTGACTGAGTCACACCACACAAAAACAAAGGTTTTAGACTTTAGAAAAACAGACTTTTCTAAAATTAAAATGTGTGGAGGAGTCATTATCAGACTGGAGCAATTTAAATGGAGTCCAAGAGAAATGGGATTATTTAAAAGTTGCACTACTGAAGGCAACAGAAAAATGCATTAGGCTTGTCAGTAAAAGCAAAAAATTCAAGAAACCACTGTGGTACTCCGCAGATGTGGCCAAAATAGTTAAAAACAAAAAGTTAGCATTTAGGAATTATAAAAAAACCCAGAGTGAGGAAGACAAAATGATCTATAAGATTAGGCAGAAAGAGGCTAAGCAAGTTATAAAAGCTTCCAAATCACACACAGAAGAGAAAATAGCACAGTCAGTAAAAAAGGGGGACAAAACATTTTTTAGATACATAAATGAGAAAAGAAAAGTAAAACAAGGATTAGTTAGATTAAAAACAAAAGAAGGAATGTATGTAGAAGAGGATAAAGGTCTAGCTGATTGCCTCAATTAATATTTTTGTTCAGTATTTACAGATGAAAACAAATTAGTAATTTGTTACATGTGAGTTTACAGAGGAAGAGGTTCTATTTCAACTGTCAAAAGTAAAGACAAATAAGTCAATGGGTCCTGATGGAATACACCCAAAGCTATTAAAAGAGCTTAGTGGTGTATTAGCAAAACCATTAACAGATTTATTTAACCAATCATTGTTAACAGGAGTAGTCCCAGGAGATTGGAAGTTGCGAATGTTGTGCCCATTCACGAGAAAGGTAGTAGGGAGGAGTCTGCAACTATAGGCCAGTAAGCCTTACTTTAGTAGTGGGGAAAGTAATGGAAACCATGTTAAAGGATAGGATTGTTGAATATCTAAAAACACATGGATTTCAAGATCAGAGACAACACGGGTTTACTTCAGGGAGATCATGCCAAACTAATCTTATTGGTTTTTTTGATTGGGTAACTAAAATAATAGATCATGGTGGTGCAGTAAACATTGCTTACCTAGATTTCAGTAAGGCTTTAGACACTGTTGCACATAGAAGGCTTATCAATAAACTGCAATCTTTAAGTTTGGATTCCAATATTGTTGAATGGGTAAGGCAGTGGCTGAGTGACAGGCAACAGAGGGTTGTAGTCAATGGAGTATTATCGAAGCACAGGCTTGTCACCAGTGGGGTACCTCAGGGATCTGTACTTGGATCCATTCTCTTTAATATTTTTATTAGTGATATTGCAGAAGGTCTTGATGGTAAGGTATGTCTTTTTGCTGAGGATACTAAAATATGTAACAGGGTTGATGTTCCAGGAGGGATAAGCCAAATGGCAAATGATTTAGGTAAACTAGAAAAATGGTCAGAGTTGTGGCAACTGACATTTAATGTGGATAAGTGCAAGATAATGCATCTTGGACGTAAAAACCCAAGGGCAGAGTACAGAATATTTGATAGAGTCCTAACCTCAACATATGAGGAAAGGGATTTAGGGGTGATTATTTCTGATGACAATGTAATAGAGCAGCAGGAAATGCTAGCAGAATGCTTGGTTGTATAGGGAGAGGTATTAGCAGTAGAAAGAGGGAAGTGCTCATGCCATTGTGCAGAACACTGGTAAGACCTCACTTGGAGTATTGTACACAGTACTGGAGACCGTATCTTAGAAGGATATTGATACCTTAGAGAGGGTTCAGAGAAGGGCTACTAAACTGGTTCATGGATTGCGGGATAAAACTTACCAGGAAAGGTTAAAGGATCTTAACATGTATAGCTTGAAGGAAAGATGAGACAGGGGGGATATGATAGAAACATTTAAATATATAAAGGGAATCAACACAGCAAAGGAGGAGACTATATTTAAAAGAAGAAAAACTACCACAACAAGAGGACATAGTCTTAAATTAGAGGGACAAAGGTTTAAAAATAATATCAGGAAGTATTACTTTACTGAGAGGGTAGTGGATGCATGGAATAGCCTTCCAGCTGAAGTGGTAGAGGTTAACACAGTAAAGGAGTTTAAGCATGCGTGGGATAGGCATAATGCTATCCTTACTATAAGATAAGACCAGGGACTAATGAAAGTATTAAGAAAACTGGGCGGACTAGATGGGCCGAATGGTTCTTATCTGTCGTCACATTCAAGGTTTCTATGTTTACCTCAAGGAAGTACTAAGGTTTGCAGGTTTCAAGCTAAGTCATTTTATAAGATGTAGGAAATAGGCTGCATAATAATATATACCAAAAAAAAAAAAAAAAAAAAAATGGACAGTAACCCTTCAGCTATGGGTTGGAAATGTTTGAGTGGTTTAGCCAATGTGCTTGTTGCCTCTTCCCCTGTGGAAAAGGATGATTTCCACCACGCTGATCCCTTCCAACCATAAGTGGGGCAGAGGGCCAAAATCTGCAGTGAACCTCATGCATGTGGCCTCCATAGATCAGTGATCTGATAAATATGTAGAAATGTGGTCCATGTGTACTGCTGTACGGGAAACAGCAGAAGGGGGGATGGTTAAATTTCCATCAGATTCAGGGACACTTCTTGTCCTCCATGAAACTCACCAAGATAGGCCAATAGAATTTCTCTTTTCCTCCAATATCTTACTTCACCAATAGAATGCATTTTGCACTAAATATCTTGCTATCCTGACTACACCTCTTCAGATGAACACATTAGTTGACAGATCAATACAAGGCAATTTTGTGGTTGATGTGGGTTGTATCTTTTTTTTTTCCTCCTGGTACTTTGCGCACTGAAAACATAAATAAAAAATATAAAAAGAAGAAATGTGTGTGGCTGGTCAGTGTACCGGTGAACATAGAAATATCTTCTTGCCCTTTTATAGATAATTGCACCTCAATCTGTAATGAAGCAGAATACTGGAAGTGACTACAACGCAAGCCCGTTGGAAGGTGTACTGATCTCTACCAGAATAAGTACAGATCCTCCATGCGTCATTGTTCACACCGAAACTGGGGTTCTGATCCTGGAGACTACAGGACCAAGAAAACTCCAGACAAGCTTTTTCAGCCCTACCAGCAGCAAAATGTGTTATGTGAACCTGGGTAACCTAAATTGCATCGTAAAGGCTCAAACTCAATTTCCAGAGCCATTGTAAGACGACCAGTGAAAACTATGAGGTTTGCTTTCCAACTGTATTGTAATAGGACTAGCACTATTAAAGCTTTCAGATGTTGCTCTCCTTATAAAGTTTAAAGGATAAAAGAGAACTACTCTCAAAAATGTAAGCCCACTACGATGGGACCTGCGCGTCCGTTATATCTTGTTTGCTTGTTCAATCTATAGATTCATGCTGTTGTACATTGATCAGGGCAAACCCTGAAATGTTTATGTTTGAATAAAGCCTTTTTGAGATACAAAAAAATGTAAGCCCAATAGCAAAACATCACAATGGTTCATTACTTTACAACTGAGTCACTTAACTAAAATATCCGCTACAAGTATAGTACATTCACACAGTGTGTATGCATACAATAAAATTGTGGAATATGAAGCGGTGCTTTCGGTTTAAGACAACTATGACATAAAACACACCTTTACTGATGCAAATTATCAAATTCAGGAAAAGGCAAATTCAAAACATGTACTGTTGAGCGTTATGGGAAGGAGTGTATAAAAATCTAAATAAAGTGTTGCTGGTCAATACCATACTTGCCTTCTTTGAGATATGGTAATTACATCAATTACAAATCCCATGACGTACTTAGCAAGCAAAGTATCACCCATTAAAAAAGTAATATTATCTAAAAGAACCTCTTCACGCCTATATAAAATAAAAACTTCAGCTTGCTCCCATTTCAAAAGGCATTTTATAAAAAATCTGAGAAATCTGCACTTTTATAATAAATGAATGAAACACCCATGGCTGTCAATCAAAGTTGAGCTAACTGAAGTGGCAGGCGTGCTCTACTTTAGGGCGCCTGGGTCCCCACCTATAGCTCCTTCTCAGACCTTAGGTCAGAATGCTGTGCAATGTGTATGGAGGCAGAGCTTCAGAGGCATATCTCCTGGGGAAAAAGGTAAGGGCTTGAAAAGGTTGCATTTTGTAACAACTGCAACTTTTGCAAGCTCTTAAGATATACCCTCCCAAATGAATATATTCATGAAAAATGGTGATTTCTACTTATTTGCCCATTTGGGCAGTGAATTGTCACATTAAGGTTACTGACTGATACACAAATTAGGTATCTGGTATAATCTCTTGTCTAAGCTTAAAAGGGATGCTTATAGGCACCCAGACCACTTCAGCTCACGGTTTACATTGCAGTACTAAGAGAGCCTCTAGTGACTGTCTACCAGACAGTTCCTAGAGGTGCTTCTGGGAGTTTACTGCACTCAAGGTCGCCTAAATGACGCCGATGGTTTTCCAGCATCAGTGAAATCCTCATAGGAAAGCACTGACCCAATGTTTTCCTGTCGGGAGGACCTAATGTGCTTGCGGCACTTGTCACGCATGTGCATTAGGTCCCTCTTTGGATGACGGTGGAGGCGGAACACAGAGACAGTGGAATCGGGGGGAGGGGAGAGGGTTGGGGACTAGAGGGAACTATAGTGTTAGAAATCTAGCTTTGTATTCCTAACACTATAGAATCTCTTTAATATCCAAGCCTTTTTGAGGCCTAAATATAAGTTTTTTTTAGATTGTAAATATCATAATTCTGCTATTTTAGCATGATTAAAATTACAAAGTAATAATTCAAAACATTTAGAAGGTTATTAAGTCAATGGAACACAATTTTCTATAAAAATACATTCCTTCATAAAACGCAACTAGAAAGAAACAGAGCCTTTCGATTACTGAACAGGAATTTCTGACAAGAAGCCGCAAAGAATCTTACCTGTCTTCATCCTTATTAGAGCCCGTTAACGTCACTCCATAAAATTTAAAGTCATCCCAAAAAGCATCGTCCTCGGCAGACTTATCATGTAAAGGGCTATGTTCCAGATCTTTGCTACAGGTCCTTATTTGATCACTGGCTCCATCAAAATCTATTGGGTCAAACACTCTGTCACGCCGGCTTTTCTCGTCCACAGAAATGCTGTCTTTGCGGACTTGGGAGTCCCAATTACCTTGTTTAGAATTTTCTTTTCCTTCATTTTCAACCCTAAGTAAGTTCATTTTAGTGCAGGGACTTGAAGATACTTGCTTTCTAATTTTTGGCCTAACAACAGGTTCAGTCCCTAGGTCCAACTGTGTGTTATTGGGATTTAGTTCATGGTAGACTGCTACAGTATTTATTGCTGCAATATCAGCTTTACTTTTCTTCTGTTGTATTTCACAGATATCTATGCTTGTATCTCCTGTGGCTTCACCCATTGATACATTCCACTGGGCATGGTCTGGACTTCTATTTTTGTATTTGCTTAACGATACAGGGCAGACTACCGACAAACTGTCCTTTGCATAACTGTGACTTGACCTAGAAGAGTCAGGCCGACTTTCACTAAAGCATTCTTTCTCCAGTTCTGACAGCATGCTGTTGAGGGTTCTCGGTGGCTTTCCTTTCTCTTTTGTTAATGAAAATTCTTCTGAAAGGAAAATATTTTCCTCCCCTTCACTGCTGTCTGGCTCAAAAGAGTCAATATTCACAAAGGAAATGCCATTTTGATGGGACTGCTGTGAGCGCTTCACTGGAGCATGCATTATGTGAATTTTAGAACTGTTCATACAGTCATCACCACTGCTTAAACTATGACAGTCCTTTGCCTGTTCTGACGCTGCAAAGTGAGGAGTACCATTCTGCTCTACTTCAGTAAGCACAGATATACCATCTTTGGAATCTGTTCTTCTGGTTTCTTCTGGACAATTAGAACTTAAGCTTCCAAAGCTGAATATTGAAGAATCACAATTTTTCTCTAAAACTGAGAAAGAAAAAAAAATGTAATGTGTGAAATTTATATACTAGTAATCAAAAATGACAAGACATCTAACTCCAATTACACAATAAGCAATAAAAATCTAAATTCTCACAATGAATAGATAACTTTTTAGGGATATAATAAGAAAGCTGAAGAGGCAAAGCTTTACTTTTTAAACATCTGTAACACAGAATATGAACATTTTATTTTAAATAATCAAGATTTGTTTAGTGTGTCTTAAGAGGAACACTAGCACAACAAACGAGCAATCTCTTATTTGAATACAATAAATAGCCAGGACATCACGGTAGCTGAAGTCCAGCAACATCTGGGGGGTTATATACACATGTCAAACATTTAAAAGGACATTCTAGACCCCTAAAGTACTTTAACTCGCTGGAAAGCTTTGTGTGTGAAGAATGTCCTTTTTTTGTCATCTTACAAAAAGTGCAGATTTCAATAGAAATTTACACTTTTATAAATTAAGCTAGTTACACCTACTATCTCTCAATTAGACAAGAGGTCCTGTTCCTTCCTGGATGTTTAGCTCAGTGGAGCTAAAATAAAGAGGCAGCAATTGTCTATAGCACCGGCCTTGCAAAGTTCTCATTGAGCTGCATTAGAAAGTCTGTGATTGGACATTCACAGAAAGTCTGGGCGGGGTTAGAAGGGGAGGGCTTGCTAAGGCAGCAGACAAGCAAACTGCAGATTTTGCAAGCTGTTTTTAGATATACAGCCAATGATAAAAAAGAATAATGAAATTAATGTTTTTTATTTTGGACATATCTACTAAACAGCAATTTGGCTAGTGTTAGTGTTCCTTTTAACATAGAGTCCCCATTTGAGGGGAGACAAACAAACTCAGCATTTATTCAGTGCTCTCATGTTACTGTGTAATCATCAATGTGAGGGGATTACATTTGTCAAATCAAAACCTCAATGTAGTGATTTTGGTGCCAAGACTGTCCTGTTAATCCTCTGCTTGAACAGTTCTCCCCAAAGTTTAAAATTGGTGATTTCCATCTAAATAGCCTGTGGACTCATTTATTATTGGCATATCACAAAACAAGCACTTTTCAATAGAGCTAGTAAGCTAGTATTCTCTTTAATCCAATTACATAGCAGTTTCGCCACAGCACATAATGACACATTCTCAAAGAAAAAAAAAAAAGGGAAGGGGAAGGGGAGAGCCCAACATTTTTACATTGTGCAAGCTAAATGTGAAAGTTATTCAACATTTTAAAACTTTGACTTTCTGGACTTTTAGGTCTGATTCTCTGCCATAACAGTAAAACTTACTAACGAGGTTTGGAGACAGATACTCCACTTGTCACTCATCAGTAGGACATAGCTTCTAATCTAACACACGTACCAGTCTGCCTCAGATTTTTAGGAGTTGCACTCCCAGGCAAGCTGCTGCTACTGGTTGCTGTCCTTAAAGGGATACTCCAGGCACCCAGACCACTTCTGCCCATTGGAGTGGTCTGGGTGCCAACTCCCACTACCCTTAATCCTGCAAGTGTAATTATTGCAGTTTTCATAAACAGCAATATTTATATTTACCTGGCAGGGTTAAGTCCTCCTCTAGTGGCTGTCTATCAGACAGCCACTAGAGAGACTTCAGTGTTCTTAGAACACGAAAAGTGTGTTATAAGACGCTGGACGTCCTAACGCTATGGGAGGACCTCCAGCGTCGCCGAAATCCCCATAGGAAAGCAATGAATAATGCTTTCTTATGGGGAGGTCTAATGCGCGTGTGCGGCCATTGCCGCGCATTAGGTCTCCCCTGCTGTCGGCAGAGAAGGAGAGTAGGCGGAGCCTGACCAGCGCCGTGGGACATCGGCGCTGGACTCCCGTAAGTCACTGAAGGGGTTTTAACTCCTTCAGCAACTTGGGATGGGAAGTGGGAGGGAGAGGGGCACTACAGGGTCCTGCAATGCCAGGAAACTGCCCATCCACAAGAATGGAGAGAAGCAGGAGAGCGTGAATTGCTGTGTCTTTGTCTCCTCTATATATAATCTAAAAACTTGCCTCTTCTTCTGTAAAGAAGTTAGTTAAGCAGACACTATATACACTATGGTACGTCAAGACGCTGAGGAAAATCAGCCTGAAATGCACCCGATTTAAACTACAGTTGCCTAATCTATGCCCACTCTGTTAGTTAATGTTTCTGATAGCAATTGGTTGGAAATTGTGGGAATTGTATTGAAAAAGTACATCAGATAAACCAAATAAAATTACAGCAGGCAGGAAAAAACAAAAAAAACCACAAAACAACTCAGTTTCTGTTTATACACACACACACAAAATCCCAATCCTATTGCAATAAAATCTGTACAAGGAAGTACAAAAAGTGCAGATTTCAATAGAAATTGACACTTTTGTAAGCTAACCTGGTTACACACCCTTGCTGTAAGACAATCGTTCCTGTTTGTTTAGCTCAGTGGAGCTAAACTCAAGAGGAAGCAATTGCCCAGAGCACGTGCCTTACAAATACTTCTCATTGAGCTGCACTGGGAAGTCTGTGATTGGACAGCCACAGAAGTCTGAGCAGGGTTAGAAGGGGAGGGCTTGCAAAGGCAGCAGACGAGATCTGCAGGTTTCGCAAATTGTTTCCAAATGAAAATATGCATAATTAAATGAATGCATGTTTTCATTTGTGGTATATCTACTAAACATTGATTTTTATTAAGGCAGGGGAGTGTCCCTTTATCTAGATTATTAAACAGATTGTTCATTACATATGGATTTCTGGAAAGTTCAGAAGACATTTAATCAGATGGGTTTGTTTTTTTACAGTTGGAGCAGATATATACAAAATTAAAACAAGAAACTAAAACAGAATAAATAAAAACAAAGAAACATTTATATGCACAAAACATTTTTTTTATTTTTAATCATGTAAAATCAGTTAAGCTACAAGCGAGTGGGCTTTCTCTGCAGGAGTAACTAGAGACCATTCTCACTGCCTTCTTACAATGCTAAGTGGTGTACATAACCAGAGGAAAAGCAGTTTTTATATCACATCCTTCTGGCCCCCTGGATACAGGCATGCAGGATTTTAAGGGAGCCCATAAACTGATTGGATGAAAGGAAAGCTAATGTCAATTATGTGCATATTTGTGTGCTCTCAGGTAAAGAAAGGCCAACAGGATCAACCTCCAGCTTCTGTAGAAGCTGAATCTCATCACCGGCCAAGATCTCCAGCTGCTGCTCTCATCCTTGCTCTGGCACCCAAGACAAATATTTCGTATCAATAAGAAGGCTGGGAGGAAGACCACACAGGGGGAAAACACTGAGATTAACATTCTAAAAATTTTAATTAAGAAGGTACCCAGGGGCTCCAGCCCACATAACGAATTAATTGAGAGTATCCCTTTAGGATTAAATGCTTTAAAAAAAAAAAAAAAAAAAATCCATTTATTGCCAAGAGATGAAAGGAATAGAATATATATATATATATATATACACACACACACACACCAAAACTCCACCCACTACTTGCATTATTCCAGCTTCAAGTCCTTCGGCACTGGCTGTCTCCTATGATGTTATTGTGCGGGGTTAACCCAGGCTTCCCCAAACTCTGGCCCTCCAGATGTTGCTGAACTACAACTCCCATGATTCTCAGCCTATTTCATTCATAGAATCATGGGAGTTGTAGCTCCCATGTAGTTCAGCAACATCTGGAGGGCCGGAGTTTGGGGAAGCCTGGGTTAACCTAATGCATAGTGAGAGCGGAACACACATTATGCCTTTACCATAGGAAATGCATTAATCCAGTACTTTCCTATGGGGATATTGATGGCGCTGGACGTGCTCACACAAAGCACGATGACATCAAGGTGTGTTTCATGAAGTTATCAAGTCCCTCAGCACTGGCCGTCTCCTATAAAGTCATAGGAAATGCATTGACCCAGTATTTTCTTATGAAGATACTAAAGAAAATGGACGCGCTCACGCAAAGCTTGGAAGTGCCTCTAATGGCCGTCTGGTAGAGAGTCACCAGAGGCAGTCTTAACCCTGCATTGTAAACATTGTAGGACTAACTGGGACAGGGAAACTGCACTTAGACCACTTCAATGAGATTTAGTGGTCTGGGTGCCTATTTAACATGCTGGTATTATTGTACATCAGTAATCAACACTCAGAGTGGCTCTGTCACTTACTTACTCCCTTTTTAAACAGCTGATCCTACTGGGTCTTCTTTCATGGATCTGCCAAGATGGCGGCAGCCGGAACTTCCACCTTTTGGCTTCACATAAACTTGTGTTGGCTCACGATCGTGTGACAGTAAACACGGAGGAAACAGGCGAGTACAGGTTGACCAAACAATGACAAAGCACAGAGCATGACTAAAGCTCCATCCTTTGTCAACCTGCAGATTATACATAAGGAAAGGTCATTGCTATTTTTCCTTATGAAAAACTTAAGAAATATGCAAGGAAAAAATAAATAAAACAAAAAAACAGTGTGGGTTATTTTGGACAAGCTGCTTTAAAGGGACACTCCATGCACCTAGACCACTTCTGCCCATTGGAGTGGTCTGGGTGCCAACTCCCACTACTTTTTTTATAAACTGCAATAATTACCTTGCAGGATTAACTCCACCTCTAGTGGCTGTCTACTAGACAGCCACTAGAGGGCACTTCCTGCTTCATAGCAAAGATTTTCTTTGCTAGAGCGTCGCTGGACGTCCTCCAGCGTCGCTCAATTCCCCATAGGAAAGCATTGAAAATAATTTTGCCGCGCATGCGCATTAGGTTTCCTCAGCCAGCGGGCGGGATCAGTCTCGCCCACCGGCTGACGTAATTACTGCGAGGTGCGACGCCGACCCAAAACCACCGCCGAGGGACTTCGGCGGGGTCTAAGGTAAGTGACCTGAAGGGGTTTTTACCCCTTCAGCTACCTGGGATGGGAGGTGGGTGGGAGAGGGTACCTGCAGTGCCAGGAAAACAGATTGTTTTCCTGGCACTGGAGTTTCCCTTTAAGTCTTGTGCATTTTTCATTAAAAGGAAAATATATGTTCACATAGGGTTACAATTTTAAGTTAATTCAACATTCCAGTTCTCAGTCCAAGACAAAATTCCATGTGTCGTGGCACTGCAGCTCCAGTGATATTCTACCAACCACAGATACGTTACCCTTAATTCATCAAGAACCAAATATAAAACATTGTCATCACCTGATCACAATTTGAGGTCTACAGACATTTTTTACAGCATGAAACAGTTTTACTGCTTTAGTACTGGAGTTATTACATAAGTATTTTTAATGAGCTGTCTAGGCACTATAACAACTATATGTCGATAACATGGCTGATGTCCAATGAGACTACTGGAATTTTAATTCCGTTCTTGGTCAAACGTATCAGGCACAGTGACCCTAAAATTGTGGGTCACCAAAGCACCCATTGCCTGACCTTTGCTCAATGGAAATGCTTATGTAGAAGCTGAACTTTCGCATTAACAAGGTAAATTCTATCCAATTTTAGTGATACACATGTCAGTTGACCTACTCAATTAGTGCATGGCATTGAAATGTGGATAAAACTAATGTTTCCAACATGCGAGTACAACTTGATAATTTGAACAGTATGATTTTCTAATGAGCAGAGCTTGGGCTGTTGGTGCTTTTAGGGACCCTGGCTTTCATTGTACCACCTAGAAATGGTTTGACCAAAAACCAGGGGACAGTTCCATCAAAGATAGAGAGCTACTTGATTATTACCCCAGATCCTTAGGCTATTCCCTTATCCTCCATATTGTTAATATTCACAATTCAGCATTCCATTTAACAAACAATAACAGCACACACTTAAAGGATTTTCTTTCTGCACATCGTCTAGTTCCAATCCTTCGCAGTCTCTGCTTTGTTGACTTGATGTTCTGTTTGGACTCTCCAAAGAGGGTCGAAAGCTGACATAAGCATGTCTTCTTCCATACCTCCTCCCAGTGATGGTTTGGTAACCTCCTGCGGGTTTAGGCCAGGCTGATTTACATGCTTCCTGACCCATTCCTGCAAAGAGAAATTAAAAATCAGATCCAAGTACCTCAATGGACACTCCAAGCACCATACCCACTACAGCTTACTGCCTTGACTATGGTGCCAACAGGCTCTGGGTGATGGCTCTTAGCAGCCATAGAATGCCAGTCTCAAAATGATGGTGCTACCATAGATTAGAAATGAAATCCTGCTACGGTGTACAACTCTCAACAGGACACAGGTGGGCTTTAGGTGCTAAAAACTGCTTTTTTTTTAACATTACACAGAGATCCCTACAATCATCACTATTGTGCTTTCAGTGCCCCTTTAATGCAAAAAAAAGTATATGTATAGAATTTAAATAAGTTTCATTTAAAATCAATTCACATGTGTCAAATGGAAGTGGTATTTTGGGCTATGTAATGTATTGATCATAGTAACAAGAGCAAGTGGAGCACCCCCATTATAATAATTGTAAGTAACAGGAAATCACCTGGGCAGCTATATATTGGAAATACTAGAGCAGGTCAGACATTACTGCTGAAGAAGAAAGAATGGATGCGTCCACGAGTCACCAATGAGAGCAAAATGATAAATTATCTATTTTGGGGAAGAAAGAGTATTGGCATGTTAAAGTGACACTATTATAGGCTTTGTTTTTGAATGTCTTATCCTTCCATCCTCTTTTTAAAATCACCTTTTTTATTAGATAAACTAGGGACTACTTTTTCCCTATGCAAAATGTGATTTTGGCAATGTGTGGAGCTTAAGCAAATTCCATTTTAAGGCTAATTCATCAATCCACAATCCATCAAATTAAAGAATCGCACAGAAAGACAAACTAGAGTCTACATGAACAGAGAACAAAATGGCAGCACCCAGATTCAGTGTAAGGTAGAAAAAATAAATATAAAAAGCAAGGGGGGGAGGGGAAGGGGTTTAATCTTTAAGATACAAAGGGTACAACGAAAGAAAGAAAACTAAATGAGAGTGATGCTTCTAGTAACATGGAACCATTTAATTTTAAGTATTTTCAAAAGATGGAAGAGGAATGGTCCAGTAAGAATTGTAACTGCCAAGTGGTGTAACCACACAATACTGTGGAGCTGTGAAATTCTAAAGTATTTTATAAAGTATTCCGTCAGCTACAGGAGGGTAAATAAAATGTTCAAGACCATGTGGCTGATGAGACACGGAAAACTCAGCAATATGTATGTTCATTAGTCTCTAATGTCTGTGGCTGGAAAAGTCCAGATCACCTAGGATTGTCCTGAGAATATCCCAACTCTCCAAGACCATGGTCAATTTGTCATAGAAGGCCAGGGAGCGGGAATATGGATCACGCTCATTTAGTAAGGTTATTATAAACACTATTGTAATATTATGTAACAATAACACTGCTTACAATGAGGAACCTAAGAATAAGATAATATGAGGCAATTTCTTAAAAGTAAATCTATTTTAAGCATTTTGATTTAGCTGCAATAGTTGCAAAAAAAAATAATATATATATATATATATAAAAGAAAACTAGCAAAATTTACACCATTTGTAGGTCAGTCATTCTAAATGATTAGTTACCGTATATGCTCGAGTATAAGTCGACCCGAATATAAGTCGAGGCCCCTAATTTTACCCAAAAAAACTAAAAAAAAAAAACACTTATTGACTCTTGTGTAAGCCTAGGGTGGGAAATGCAGCAGCTACTGGTACATTTCTAAATAAAATTAGATCCCAAAAAAATTATATTAATTGAATATTATTTACAGTGTGTATATAATGAATGCAGAATGTGTGTGTGTATGAATGAATACAAAGTGTGTGTGTGTGTATGAATGAATACAAAGTGTGTGTGTGTGAGTGTATGAATGCAGAGTGTGTGTGTGTGTGTGACAGAGTGTGTGTGTGTGTGAATGAATACAGAGTGTGTGTGTGTGTGAATGAATACAGAGAGTGTGTGTGTGTGTGTGGAATGAATGCAGAGTCTGTGTGTGTGTGAATGAATGCAGAGTGTGTGTGTGTGTGTGAATGAATGCAGAGTGTGTGTGTGTGAATGAATGCAGAGTGTGTGTGTGAATGAATGCAGAGTGTGTGTGTGTGAATGAATGCAGAGTGTGTGTGAATGAATGCAGAGTGTGTGTGTGAATGAATGCAGAGTGTGTGAGTGTGAGTGTATGAATGCAGAGTGTGTGTGTGTGAGTGTATGAATGCAGAGTGTGTGTGTGTGTGAGTATGAATGCAGAGTGTGTGTGTGAGTGTATGTGTGAGTATGAATGCAGAGTGTGTGTGTGAGTGTACGAATGAATGAATGAATGCAGAGTGTGTGTGTGTGTGAGTGTGTGTGTGTGTGAGTGTACGAATGAATGAATGCAGAGTGTGTGTGTGTGTGAGTGTACGAATGAATGAATGCAGTGTGTGTGTGTGTGTATGAATGCAGAGTCTGTGTGTATGAATGAATGCAGAGTTTGTAACCTTGGTGGGGGGTGGGCATTTTTATAATTTTTTTATTATTATAATACTACATTTTATTTAATATGATTAAATTTTTTATATTATATTATTTACATTTTTATTTTATTTTTTTTGTCCCCCCTCCCTGCTTGTTAGCTGGCCAGGGAGGGGGGCTATATTATTGCCTGGTGGTCCAGTGGTGTGTACTGTGCAGGAGGGGGGCTGGCAGCGAGCTGTTACCTTTCCTGCAGCGCCTGTCAGCTCCCTTCTCCTCCATTTTGGTCAGCTCCACTATAAATCTCGCGGTCTGCATGCCAAATTGCCACGGTAACCCGTGGCAACGCTCAGACGCCGCGGCTCTCGAGAGACTTACAGTGGAGCTGAACAGCATGGATGTGAAGGAAGCTGCTGTAAATGTAACCGCTCGTTGCCAGCCCCCAACAGGACCGCCGGGTTTGTAATGAGCCCGGCGGTCCTGGTCTGTATTAAGACAATGTAAGTTGCCATGATACAGACATTGAATCAAGTATAAGACGAGTGGGGGGGTTTCAGCATAAAAAATGTGTCGAAAAACTTGTCTTATACTCTAGTTTATACGGCATATATTATGTATCAAAGAAAGCTCTAAATGTCCTTAAACATAGATATATTTCCTCTGTGCGTGACTTTCATACGAGATAATTATAGCTGAATAAGCCAATATCATGATTGCAAATTTGTTTTGGTCATTAAGTTAATTGCCTTTTCTCCTAAGAGTTTAAAGAGTTGTGTGCATTTTATTGTAGCCTAAAGGTGAGCAGGAGAAACACTTTAGTTAAAAGATCACTATAGTGTTAGGAAATCAAACTCATTTTCTTGACACTATATAACGTTTAGGTCCCCCCTCCATTGGCGCTGAAGGGGTTAAAACCCCTTCAATTACTTACTTTAATCCAGCGCCAGGCTCCCTCGGCGCTGGTGACCTCTCCTCCCCCGGACGTCAGCTCACGAGTGGAGCGGAAAGCGCAATGCTTTCCTATGGACGTTCTGCACGCTGAACGCGATTTTCGCATCCAGCGTCGCAGAAGCACCTCTAGCGGCTGTCAGGAAGACCGCCACCAGAGGTTGGATTAACCCTGCAATGTAAACATAGCAGTTTCTCTGAAACTGCTATGATTACATCGGAAGCGTTAAAACCTGTGGGACCTGGCACCCAGACCACTTCATTGAGCTGAAGTGGTCTGGGTGACTATAGGGTCCCTTTAATGTTACATAAATGTACTTTGGACTGAATAGGGGAGACTTTTTAAATCATCCATGAATGATAGTGGCAACTGATGGACTTAATAGCTGTAGTGTAAGGAAAATATCTACTGGATCACGATCATGCTGGTGTAGAATTCAGTTTAAAATCCATCAGGCCAAAATTAGATCTGTCAGTATTCACTGTTCGTATAAAAAAGTGTCCAGACTGCCCTGGAGATATCCTGTGCTTGCGAAGATATCTTGGATGTAAGCAATCCATTTATGATTGTGACAGCAAGGATTTTTATCTTCACTTGATAAAAAGTCTCAAAGGTGAAAGACGTTGTGGATATTTTAATATTGTTCAATAAAAGTTATTTTGGCTACATTTATACCGTGAGTGTGCCATTTTACTATTATTTTATATTTTTACTGCTCTACTGCCTGGCATCCATTCTTATTTTGTTCCAGTGAGGACTACTCTAAAGAATCCTAGGTGGGGATTATACCACTCAAACACTATCTATTGAGCAGTTTGCTTAAATCGAATGTGAGTACAAATTTATACTCCTGGAGTTTTAAATACAGTGAGCACTATTATTGTTCTTTTTATTTTATGGTCTTCATATCATTGACACAACTATCAATTCTCGTGTATCCTATAAATAGGGATTGTACCACTGTACGCCATCCATACTAGAGCTCGTCAAAGCACTAAAAAAAACCAAAACTTTTTTCTTCTGACCCTGATCTCCTGGCGGAAGAAGAAAAAAAAAAATCTCTGAACAACACCATAGTCGTTTCTTCTAGCAAGGTTTCTCAATATTGGACATTTCTGTTACTACCAACGGTTTTATTTCCATAATTTTTTATATGTATTTACTATATCCTGTTGTAGTACCTTTTCATGTTGCTTACTTATTTTAGAATTATTTTGTTTCTGGCACAACCTTTTCCCCTATTCATTGTATTTTCTGTGTAGGGCCAAGAGTGAGCCCTACATTTTAAGGTGTGCTGCCTACGTATTCAATATTTTTAACTGTCTTTGGTTCGGTTGAACAGCGCTGATCCATTTGTCTGAATGTTTACCTCAAACAACTCTCGCAGCCTCTCTGCTAATCCATGGTTTAGGCACAAAGTCTAGTAAGATTGGCATACGAGTAGCTGCTCTTGCCTATAAATATCCAAGTAGGAAGCGGCAGATCTATCACTGTTCCAGAGATGGGTTCTGCAGGACCAATAGTCAACATTGTGATTAGCAAAAGGCGACTGGCTTCCAGTTCACTGTGTAGTGACATCCACATGTCATGCAATCACACAAATGACTTTGACCTGTGGCAGAGCGCCTTGGCCTACAGACCAGGACAATATATCAGCTTCTGCTTCAAAAAGTATGTAAGGATTTAAAATACAAGAAATCCTGCCATGTTGCCGGAGTGTCTGATGAAGGGCCACTAAAGCACAAAATAAACACCATCTACTTGGTGCTTTCTCCCGTTTGCTGGGTTCCAGCTTGAAAAGCAGAGGTAAAACATAAGCAAAATAACTGGTGTTTGGGTTTTTTGGTTTCTGAAAATGTTGCTTTGTAAAGTTATTTTATGCCACTGGGGCTTCTACAGTCAACTTCAAATCTTCCAATGACAGCTGTGCTTTGGCAGGCACTGTCCTTGGAAGGGTTTATGACAAAAATGTTTTTTTAAAAAAAATACATGATTGTGAGGTTAATATTGCGGGTTTTGCTGGGTGTAACCTGGTATCGGACCACACTATTTCTGTAATGAAACATCTTATCAGAATATGCTCAGAGATGCAAACTAAAGGGGCTTGAATGAGATGCTGCCATCTTGGCTAAGCGCACCCTCAATATATTTATTTTAATTTATTGTTCGGGTGTGAAGTAGGTCTTTCAGATGTGGAGCATCTAGTCAGATGTAATGACTAGCTGAACATCATTGGAAATACAGAGTGAATGATAATTATTGTCCTTCCAGACACACCAGGATTACAACCACTAGCCACACATTGTAATCCCAGACACTACTTCAGGTTTGGATAGTTTATATCTGTCATCTTTGTACTGAAAAGAATAGCAGAACCAGGCAGGCAGTTATATAGCTACCCAAGTGATAACACGCAAGGTGCCACATTTCACAACCACTCCTATTTAATACCATGTGTGAGATATCCAGTGGGTTTATGCCAGTGTTTTAACAAGTTAGAAAAGATGAATTTACTGATTGTGATTAGAGCTACATAGAAGTCATTTAAATCCACCATACAGACTGAATACATTGTTTCTTCATACTCATGGTTACGATAGAATAAAAATGCAGCCATGTAGCATGTACAATTCACATACCGCAATTCGATTGTAGGGGTATGAGTTCAAATGAAATGGCACATGTGATTTCCGTACTGCAACAAACAAAGTCTACACAGGAAAGTGAGAATTGCCTGGAATTCAAACCGAATCAAAGTGAATGTCAAAATTTAGATCAAACAGCCAAAGTAATTAATTGGCCAGCTAAATTCTGTTTTGAGTTTGGTTATTTTGGTATTAAATTTAGAATGCAGTTGGAATCTCCTCCTCCCAGGCCTGGCTCTCTGTGTACATGGTGGCGGCCTATGTGTCTCTCTGTGTATATGGTGACGGTCTATGTGTCTCCTCCCCCCCCTCCCCAAGCCTGGCTCTCTGTGTACACGGTGACGGTCTAGGTGGCTCTCTGTGTACACGGTGACGGTCTAGGTGGCTCTCTGTGTACACGGTGACGGTCTAGGTGGCTCTCTGTGTACACGGTGACGGTCTAGGTGGCTCTCTGTGTACACGGTGACGGTCTAGGTGTCTCCTCCCCCCCAGGATGGCTCTCTGTGTACACGGTGACGGTCTAGGTCTCTCTGTGTACACGGTGACGGTCTAGGTCTCTCTGTGTACACGGTGACGGTCTAGGTCTCTCTGTGTACACGGTGACGGTCTAGGTCTCTCTGTGTACACGGTGACGGTCTAGGTCTCTCTGTGTACACGGTGACGGTCTAGGTCTCTCTGTGTACACGGTGACGGTCTAGGTCTCTCTGTGTACACGGTGACGGTCTAGGTCTCTCTGTGTACACGGTGACGGTCTAGGTCTCTCTGTGTACACGGTGACGGTCTAGGTCTCTCTGTGTACACGGTGACGGTCTAGGTCTCTCTGTCTAGTGTACACGGTGACGGTCTAGGTCTCTCTGTGTACACGGTGACGGTCTAGGTCTCTCTGTGTACACGGTGACGGTCTAGGTCTCTCTGTGTACACGGTGACGGTCTAGGTCTCTCTGTGTACACGGTGACGGTCTAGGTCTCTCTGTGTACACGGTGACGGTCTAGGTCTCTCTGTGTACACGGTGACGGTCTAGGTGTCTCTGTGTACACGGTGACGGTCTATGTGTCTCTGTGTACATGGTGACGGTCTAGGTGTCTCTCTGTGTACACGGTGACGGTCTATGCTGCTCTCTGTGTACATGGTGACGGTCTATGTGTCTCTGTGTACATGGTGACGGTCTATGTGGCTCTCTGTGTACACAGTGACGGTCTATGTGGCTCTCTGTGTACACGGTGACGGTCTAGGTCTCTCTGTGTACACGGTGACGGTTCAGGTCTCTGTGTACACGGTGACGGCTCCAAATTTCTGTGTGTAAATACCTGTGACGGTCTATGTGGCTCTCTCTGTGTACATGGTGACGGTCTATGTGTCTCTCTGTGTACATGGTGACGGTCTATGTGTCTCTCTGTGTACATGGTGACGGTCTATGTGTCTCTCTGTGTACATGGTGACGGTCTAGGTGTCTCTGTGTACATGGTGACGGTCTAGGTGTCTCTCTGTGTACATGGTGACGGTCTAGGTGTCTCTCTGTGTACATGGTGACGGTCTAGGTTGCTCTCTGTGTACATGGTGACGGTCTAGGTTGCTCTTGGTCGACGACAAAACACCGCTAAGTGCGTTTGACTAAACAAAATGGCTGCTGCCACGTGTTCGAACAAATGAACGTCGACCACCCTTTTAATCCATTAGAATGTTGAGCTGTTTGCGGTTTACACGGGTCAAGAGAGTTAAATGGTGCCACACTCGATCGGTCGGTCGACAGAAAATTAATCCTTTTGAGTGAATGCAAAAAAAATGAATAGTCTTTGTTCACAGTTCCATGCAGCAAATATAAATCTTAAACAGGGGTTTTGGTGCACACAGTTGGGTTAGGGTTTCCAGGCAATAATAGGGGGTTTTGTTACAAGGACCTTAGCCTCTGAAGTGGACTGGACTAACAGTGGTCTGGTTGCCATCTTTTCAGAGGGCTTAGCTGAGAATATTCAAGATGAGACCGCCGCGAGGGACCTTCCTGTCAATCTTAATTTAATTCATATCTTATATGATTCACACTGATAACAGATCGAGAGATAGAAACAAGCAACGTACGAGGCGTGCCAACCTATCGATAGCCCCTTGTATTTCCAATCCAGTGGTAGCTAACCCTGCTCCGATTCCAGAGGCTGAGCCCATGCAATTGGGTATAACTAAGCTTACAGAGGCAGAGATGTGTCTCTGTGTACATGGTGACGGTCTATGTGTCTCTCTGTGTACATGGTGACGGTCTATGTGGCTCTCTGTGTACATGGTGACGGTCTATGTGGCTCTCTGTGTACATGGTGACGGTCTATGTGGCTCTCTGTGTACATGGTGACGGTCTCTGTGTCTCTGTGTACATGGTGACGGTCTATGTGGCTCTCTGTGTACATGGTGACGGTCTATGTGTCTCTCTGTGTACATGGTGACGGTCTCTGTGTCTCTGTGTACATGGTGACGGTCTATGTGGCTCTCTGTGTACATGGTGACGGTCTATGTCTCTCTGTGTACATGGTGACGGTCTATGTGGCTCTCTGTGTACACGGTGACGGTACCTGCGTCCCGAGCTCCCGCACCTCCCGGAGCCGCCAGCGCCACCGACCACAGCAGCCCCGTCACGCCGTGCGTCACCTGACAACCAGCGTCAACTACGCAGCCAATCACAAAGGGCAAACTGGCCGCCGTCAGCCAATCAGGCGCAGGCACGGGGGCGGGATAAGGAAGTTACACCAACCAATCACATGGAGCGGCCGTACAGCAGCCAGCCAATCAGCGTGGGGGACATGGAGAAACGAGGAAGTACGGCATCCCATCAAAGGAGCGCCAAGTAAAGGGCGGGGCCATTGTGACGTCAGGGTCAGAGTGAAAGGGGCGGAGTTACAGTTGTCATAGCATGGCAATGGCTAAGTGTAGCTTATAAATAGGAATAAAATCATCACATTGGGGCAATAAACACTTTAATATAGTAATATAATACTCACAGCCTGGGGATCACAAACTTTAATATAGTAATATAATACTCACAGCGTGGGGATCACAAACTTTAATATAGTAATATAATACTCACAGCATGGGGATCACAAACTTTAATATAGTAATATAATACTCACAGCATCACAAACTTTAATATAGTAATATAATACTCACAGGGGGATCACAAACTTTAATATAGTAATATAATACTCACAGCGTGGGGATCACAAACTTTAATATAGTAATATAATACTCACAGCACGGGGATCACAAACTTTAATATAGTAATATAATACTCACAGCCTGGGGATCACAAACTTTAATATAGTAATATAATACTCACAGCACGGGGATCACAAACTTTAATATAGTAATATAATACTCACAGCACGGGGATCACAAACTTTAATATAGTAATATAATACTCACAGCACGGGGATCACAAACTTTAATATAGTAATATAATACTCACAGCATGGGGATCACAAACTTTAATATAGTAATATAATACTCACAGCACGGGGATCACAAACTTTAATATAGTAATATAATACTCACAGCATGGGGATCACAAACTTTAATATAGTAATATAATACTCACAGCACGGGGATCACAAACTTTAATATAATAATATAATACTCACAACATGGGGATCACAGACTTTAATATAGTAATATAATACTCACAGCATGGGGATCACAAACTTTAATATAGTAATATAATACTCACAGCGTGGGGATCACAAACTTTAATATAATAATATAATACTCACAGCATGGGGATCACAAACTTTAATATAGTAATATAATACTCACAGCATTGGGATCACAAACTTTAATATAATAATATAATACTCACAGCACGGGGATCACAAACTTTAATATAGTAATATAATACTCACAGCATGGGGATCACAAACTTTAATATAGTAATATAATACTCACAGCCTGGGGATCACAAACTTTAATATAGTAATATAATACTCACAGCATGGGGATCACAAACTTTAATATAGTAATATAATACTCACAGCACGGGGATCACAAACTTTAATATAGTAATATAATACTCACAGCACGGGGATCACAAACTTTAATATAGTAATATAATACTCACAGCATGGGGATCACAAACTTTAATATAGTAATATAATACTCACAGCACGGGGATCACAAACTTTAATATAGTAATATAATACTCACAGCACGGGGATCACAAACTTTAATATAGTAATATAATACTCACAGCACGGGGATCACAAACTTTAATATAGTAATATAATACTCACAGCACGGGGATCACAAACTTTAATATAGTAATATAATACTCACAGCACGGGGATCACAAACTTTAATATAGTAATATAATACTCACAGCACGGGGATCACAAACTTTAATATAGTAATATAATACTCACAGCATGGGGATCACAAACTTTAATAATGTGTGTTTTTTTATTTAATTTTAACCATGATGGTGGGCACCATAACCACTGCAGCTAATTAAAGTGGTTATGGTGCCAGCAGGCATTCCTCCCCCCATTCCAGATGGAGTGGTGTTTTTATATTTGTTGATTTAGCTGCATTGTGGTAGAAGTGAAGTAAAATGATGGTGTGTCCTGATTATTGTTATATTGAATCCTTTCCAGGTCGGCGTATGATTCCCTCCTGTAATAATTCTCCCGGGTGATATATTTCATAGAAATCTTATTATGTTACCGTGACTTGTGGAGTGAAGCGGTTGACATGTTTTATTTATTTATTATACACTTTTCACTTGAAAAATAAATTATTCCTATTCATTGATTGTTGTCCTAGTCCAGGGATAGGCAGCCTTTGGCACTCCAGATGTTGTGGACTACATCCCCCATAATGCTCTTACACCCATAATGCAGGCAAAGCATCATGGGAGGTGTAGTTCAAAACATCTGGAGTTTTGAAGGTTGCCTATGCCTGATTCCTAGTCTGTGGCTATCCCGGTGTGACTGTGTCCTGGCCTGGGCCGGACTGGGAATGATCGTCTGGACAGTATAATTTCTGCCTTTGGACATACAGAAATGATGTGAAGTTTATGGACCAGTCAGAGTAAATAGTCAAACTGTTCTTAAATAGTTTGACTACTTATTCCGGGAGGGAACCTGGGCACTCATGGCACCATAACCACTACGTTGGTTATCATGCTTGTTCCTTTAAATGTTAAAGAAGACAGTTCAAAGTTCAAGCATGCCAAGTAAACATACAACTGAGCCCCCATGTTTTGAGAATTAGAGCGATAGCTTGTCGACAAAGACTCCATTCTTCTGGATGTATAGTTTCTCTGCTCAGGAAATCAGCTCTACAGTTCCCGATTGCTGGAAAGTATTTCACTGAAATCACCAACAAATTGGTCTCTGTCCAATTCATGAGTGGGTGTGTGATTTCCATGTGCTTGCAGCTTCTCGTGGCTTCCCCCTGGTGGTTGATAAATGAGACAACTATGGTATTGTCCGTATAAATCTGTCAATGTCCTTTGATTTCCTTGTGGAAGAATATTAGGGTTTTCCAAACTGCATACATATCGAACACGTTGGAAGATGTTTCTGTCATCGTCTGTTGTCATGTCCCCTGAGTATAAAATCTTTGAAAGTGGGCACCCCATCCCCTGAGGCTTGCGTCTGTAATTATGGTCTTCCAATCTTTCTTTCACAGGTCTGTATTGTCTTACTTCACAAAATCTTCTATCTTGACCTTCTGCTGTTTTTTTATACATTTATCCAGCAGATCACAAAATAATTTATCCCCTTGGAAGGGCAATGTGCACAGGCAATTGTTTTTACAAAGTATTCACCTCCCATTCTTTCAACCATAATGACGTCCTGGCAGCAATTGTTGTAAAGCAGAACCTGAATCCAAACCTGCTTTACAAAGATCAGCATCAATGAGTTTTTCCATGGAATACTTCAGATTGTCTGCACCATCCCCTGGTATAATACATTTCTTGGTAAGTCAAACCACAACTGGGCCAACTTTAGGATTATTAGTACAGTTTGGACATTCTAAATTGTAAGTTGATCATTTTTTCCACCTTTTCCCATTCTTCCGTAATGAGATTTTATTATAGTTTTGTATAGAGGAAAAGTTGCACATTTTTTCCATAGCTTGGAAATGATTTATTAGATGAAGATTCCTTTAGAACTGCATATTCCATACTAAGTGCGATAACTAATTCCATGCGTTTAATATCCAGCTCATCAGAAATTTGGCCTTCCTCTGTTTCTAAAGATTCTTCTTGACCTTCCTCTTCCTCTGAAAAAAATTTCTGACCTGTCTGTGTGGGTAGTCTAGGTCTTTTCCCAGTTTGTGATACCTTTATGAGACCTTCAGCTTGTTCGCTTGTTTTATGACTGTGACCTGGAGACATCAACCAAACAGTATTTGTCTGGAATCACTGAATTGTTGCAGGCTTCCAACATTTTAGCTCTGGATATCCCTGGCAGGGATGTGTTTAGCGCGAGGCAAACAAGGCATTTGCCTTGGGTGGCACTTTTGGGGGGGGCGGCAAAAAAAGCCGTCCCTCTATCGCGCTGGCAAATGCCTGGGGGGCCCACCTCAGTGTCCCCAGGCTGACATCAGCGGCACTTTCCGGGCAGGCGGCACGGGAGCACTAATTCTCCTGTTCAGCTCCCTCGCGTGCACCGCAGTGATGCCGTAGCCGGAATATGACATCATTCCGTCTCCGGTATCACTACGCAGCGTGCATGAGAGCTGAACAGGAGGATTATTGCTCCCTCGCCGACTGCAGTCACCGGCCGGCCGCCCACCAGCCCAGCAGCCCCACTGGACTCCAGGGAAAGTGATAATCCACCCCAGCATTCCCAAAGGTAAGGAGGCTGGGGAGATTGAATTTAAAAAGAAATGTGAGTCTGTAAATGTGTGTGTGTGTGTCTGTTAGTGTGTGTGTGTGTCTATTAGTGTGTGTGTCTGTTAGGGAGTGTGTTACTATGTGTGTGTGTGTTAGTGTGTATGCATGTCTGTTAGTAAGTGTATGCGTGTCTGTTGGTGAATGTGTGTGTCTGCTAGTGACTGTATGTGTCTGTTAGTGAGTGTGTATGTCTGTTAGCTAGTGTATGTGTGTCTGCCAGTGAAGGTGTGTGTCTGACACTGAGTGTATATGTGTCTGTCAGTGAGTGTGTATGTGTATTTAGAAGGCGGTGGGGGGGGGGAGTGTCTGAGTTTTGTCATGCGTAGCGCAGCACAAAACCAGGACACACTGACACTGATCCCTGGGGACTTCCTGGGTGACCTGAGGGAGGATCCAATGTAATATGGGTATTAGTGCCTCTCCTTTATGCACTCTATTGTAATATTGCAGTCAAAAAATTAGTTGACTCACCTATTGCCTCTGTTATTGGACCTACACAAGATGCCATGGGTGTGGACTGGGCAACTGGCACAGAATAAGGAGGTGAGAGCCATATTATAGAAGATGAAATAAAGAAATATATATATATATATATATATATATATATATATATATGCTAAAACCATAAAATAAAAACAGGGTTAGCCAAAAAAATCAAAACTGAGCCTACCCACATGTTCAGGAAACAAAGTCTGGGTGCAAACACACTAACCAGACCTTAGTCAGGCTTCTAAATCTGGCACCTGATTAGTGAGCTCAATTATTATTATTATTGCCATTTAAATAGCACCAATAGATTCCGTAGCACTTTACAATATTATGAGAGGGGGGATTTAACTATTAATAGGACAATTACAAAAAAACTTGCAGGAACGATAGGTTGAAGAGGACCCGGCTCAAAAGAGCTTACAGTCTCGACATTTCCGAGGTTAGAACTCCTCCTGGGAAGTGAACCCAAACCGAGTTCTGTGAGTCAAAAAAGAAAATATTAATGGCTAAAACACATAAGTTGTGTCCTGGCAGAGTGGACAGTAAAGTTACTAGAGGATAAGGGAATGGGGCAACCTTTTATTAATTGGTAAATGTTTACCTGTACAGTGGAAGTTGGGGGAGGCAATATCCATGTGTAAGTGCTGCCATAGATATGGCGTGAAAATGGATATACAGACACCTCATGAAGAACAACAAAAATAACATAGGTTAATATTGTAACCACTAGAGAAATAGAAATAAATTAGGAGTATCTAAAATAAGAGACTCCAAACTGATTTTGAATAAAGTAGTATATAAAGAGAAATTCTATAGTAAATGTGTTCCCAACTTAACACTGAGTCTCAATACATACACGTAAGCCTCTAGCCCTAATAACGATTATGGATACTGCAAAGAAATAAAATAAGAATGCACAAATGCTTTATTAGATTACCAAAAAATATTCAAAGCAGCAAAAATCCTGGATACGGGCAAGAGTATCTTACTGGTTGTCTACAGATAGACTGAAAGGGGGATATGTTAATCGTATAAAGGGGGATATGTTAATCATTAATCGTATAGATTAAATGAACTGCAGGTGGGTATTAAAGAAAGAGGGTCTAAAAAGTATAGATATATACTAAATAGTAATACTAATATTAACAGATAAATGAAAAAGCCTATAAAACTCTATAATATCTCTGCCGAAAAAAATATTCTGAATCCAATAGTACTGCCTAGTATCAAGGCTCAACTGCAACTATTAAACAAATACTCCAAAGCTAAGAAGTGACACAGACTATTATACATAGACTAAATCTGGTACTACATAAGTGTAAAAGGAACATCTAGAAATGGACAAAAAATAGGTAGAAAAAGGAGCAGAGAAAAGATAGATATCTATAAAATCCCTAATGCTCCTAAAATAAACGCCTTCGAGGGCGTTCTAGTCTGTCCCTAGATACATAGAGCAGATAGCCGATAAGGAGTTACTATAAATTTCCCCCCATATACAATTAGAGAATCAGTGCTAACAGAACATGAAATAAAATAATAAAGTGAATCAAAATAGTGCCACCATAAGTGATAGTGGGTGAAAACTAAGCAAAAGCTTTTCTGATTCTCTAATTGTATATGGGGGGAAATTTATAGTAACTCCTTATCGGCTATCTGCTCTATGTATCTAGGGACAGACTAGAACGCCCTCGAAGGCGTTTATTTTAGGAGCATTAGGGATTTTATAGATATCTATCTTTTCTCTGCTCCTTTTTCTACCTATTTTTTGTCCATTTCTAGATGTTCCTTTTACACTTATGTAGTACCAGATTTAGTCTATGTATAATAGTCTGTGCCACTTCTTAGCTTTGGAGTATTTGTTTAATAGTTGCAGTTAAGCCTTGATACTAGGCAGTACTATTGGATTCAGAATATTTTTTTCGGCAGAGATATTATAGAGTTTTATAGGCTTTTTCATTTATCTGTTAATATTAGTATTACTATTTAGTATATATCTATACTTTTTAGACCCTCTTTCTTTAATACCCACCTGCAGTTCATTTAATCTATACGATTAATGATTAACATATCCCCCTTTATACGATTAACATATCCCCCTTTCAGTCTATCTGTAGACAACCAGTAAGATACTCTTGCCCGTATCCAGGATTTTTGCTGCTTTGAATATTTTTTGGTAATCTAATAAAGCATTTGTGCATTCTTATTTTATTTCTTTGCAGTATCCATAATCGTTATTAGGGCTAGAGGCTTACGTGTATGTATTGAGACTCAGTGTTAAGTTGGGAACACATTTACTATAGAATTTCTCTTTATATACTACTTTATTCAAAATCAGTTTGGAGTCTCTTATTTTAGATACTCCTAATTTATTTCTATTTCTCTATTCTCTATTTTGGGTTAAGCCCTATTTAGGTGGATCTGTAACCACCACTTCTGAACTCTACTTCAAAAATGTTCTTAATATTGTAACCACTAATGCATGATTGTTGTTAACTGGTTGCACCCACAAGCATAGGTTATAATGTAACATTCAGTAAAATATTGCAGACTCCAACTGGAGAGTTCTTCAAGTAAACAAACAGAATAAATAGATAGCATCCCTATAAAAAATGTTATAACCCCCCTTTCTAATTGGTGGTTCAGTACGGTGTGCAGTGTGTCTAGATTTCTGTGATTGACACACATCGTATTGGGCCTCTGGTCAGAAGGAAAGGATTTAAGAGATGGAATTATTTTTGTATGGATTGTGACAGATCCCTCTATCTCTGGATTATCATACTGTTAATTTTGACTTATTAGTTACACTGGGTAGTTCAGTACATGGGATTCACCGAACATCTGAGACCCATCTGGTTTGTATACCAAACAAACTACTGAACAGCCAGACCACCCAGAGGAGGCGTGTGCTGCTCACTGACCTTTTCACCCTTGCTCGCACCTCAGTAACCGCAATTACCTCAACATTCTGAGCGGTTGACTGGGTGGCCGTCATTCGAATGGAAGAACTTTAGCCGCGAACGCATACAGCGGTGTTTGGTCGTCAAGTGCATGGAACTCAAATCGGACACTCGACGACCAAACACTGCTAGAACTTCAACTTCAACAAAGTTTGGTAAAACGGGTGACATATACTCCCGAACGTGGGACATATACTGAACATACCCACGTACCGTTACATTTGGTACTTTTGTTGTATTTGGTACTCCTGAAAAACACCAACCGCACAGCCTGATTTCATGGAACTTTTTTGGGCAGAAGCCTCGTGTGCGGTCGGTCAAACTATAACTTCCATGGAAATCCTGAACCCCTAAACCGATCTGGGTGATATTTGGATATGTTGGTCCCCCAGATCGGGGCTATCAGGGGATGTTACTTTTCTGGGGTTTCCATGTGTTTCAGGGGTACTTTCAAGATATTGTAAAATTTATGTTTTCTGTGCCTGGAGATAATTAAGTTTAGTACTCAATTATCTCTCACAGGCACAGGGGAAGAATTACCCTATTTTGTGTAGGAGTGTCCTGGACTTGAGAGCCAATGTAAGTACAGTGTGTATTTTGTCATAGTCCCTTCCTCAGGTCCAGTGGGGAATGCCCCTGGAATATGTCAGAGAAAACTCCTTGCATGGTGACTTGCATATAAGGCCAGTTGTGGCTACCAATAAATCAGTTCCTGCTTACCCTCAACATAGAGTCTCATCTCATGTTTGTAGGGAACAGCTATACCAGTTATACCGTGATTATAGGGGGAAATTATAGGGGGGAAAGAACATCTCTGGAGGCGAAACCCCTCTTCCTCTCAGGGTGGCCGCCACTTGGATACTATCTCTATTGCACTTAGTGCTGCAATGTAAAACATTACAGTTCCAGAGAAACTGCAATGTTTACATTGGAGCACTAAGTCTGCCTCCAGTGGCTGTCTAGTAGACAGCAAATGGACACGCTTCCTGGATGCCAACAGACTTTTGGTCCAGTAACTGATGCTGGACTTCGTCACACTCTGCATGAGGACAT